GACAGAGGTATTGTGGCTGAATGTAAAAGGTTGAGTTCCGTGCGTTGAAATGGCCCGAGAGGAATTTCTCTACAAAAAAAAAATAATTGTGGGGATGGCTGTCCTATTTATATGTTTTGAATTTAATAAAATAGACTATTGTCTTGGCCTGAGTGATGTCATTTTGCAGCAAAGAAGATGCAATCCAAACCCAACTTAACTTTGATGTCGATGTGATGATCTCGCGCGTGATGTGGTAACACGAGAAAAAGCTCGCATTATTTTTTTCTGTCACCACAGTGCAATAAGTTGCGGGACTATGAACTATATTCCCAATAAAAAATGAATAAAGGTATTTTTTTCTTACACAGAAAATAACTACTTTAAAAATATGTAGTAATAGTAAAAGGATTTTTACATTGTAACTTAATATTTTGCTTTGTAATAAAATAATATTTAGCTAAATTCTATAAAGGTAAATAAATATTTTACAAAATAAACCTCTCAAGCAAGACATCATCTATATACTTAAATAATTTTTTTTTATTTATTTATAATAACCAGGGAGTAAGTATTATTATGTTATAAATTAACTTTTACAAAATAAACTTTATCAAACATCATCTAATTAATTAAATTTATTTTTTATTTCTTTATAATAACTAGTTGGTAAGTATTATATTACAAATTAACAAAATAAACAAATTATTTTTTATTTTAATAGATTGCGAGTATTATATTATAAACTTTATCAAAACATCATCTAATTAAATATTTTTATTTTTATTTCATAGGGAGTAAGTATTATATTATAAATTAACTTTTGCAAACACAAAATAAACTTTATCAAAAAATCATCTAATTAAATATATCCCTTTATAATAACCAGATGGTAAATATTATATTATAAATAACTTTTGCAACACAAAATAAACTTTATCAAAACATCATCTAATTAAGTAAATTTATTTTTATTTCTTTATAATAACCAGCTTGTAAGTATTAATGTTATAAATTAACTTTTGCAACACAAAATAAACTTTATCAAAACATCATCTAATTAAGTAAATTTATTTTTTATTTCTTTATAACAACCAGTTGGTAAGTATTATTATAAATTAACTTTTACAACTTTATCAAAACATCATCTAATTAAATAATTTTATTTTTTATTTTAATAGATTGTGAGTATTATATTATAAATTAACTTTTGCAACACAAAATAAACTTTGTCAAAACATCATCTAATTGAATAATTTTATTTTTTATTTAATAGACGGTAAGTATTATATTATAAATTAACTTTTACAACACAAAATAAACTTTATCAAATCAAATCATCATCTAATTGAATAATTTTATTTTTTATTTAA